ATCAGGAAGAATATACTGTCAATTAATTAATATTGTACTTGAAGATATTGTACGAAGAGAGAAAATATAATACGATAAACTCCTCTGAAAATACTGTACATTTTATAAATACTGTCCAAAATAAAGATATTATAAGTCAGCTTTGTTGATTTAATGATGAAGTTGTAATATCATAGTACTTCATCGAGATATTGCCAAAGTTAGTTTGTAAATCCCTCGTTGTCAGCTTTCACAAAAGTGAGCGCCAACGAAAACCGAAGTCATTGATACATAGTGCTATTCGTAAAATCGGGTTTCTAATAACTTAGCCCAAAGGATTCACAATCTAATTTTATCTATAAAATAAAGTGTGTGAAATGTGATGAGATATGCATCGGAAAAACATCACGAGACATAAAGGTAATTAGAAGTACTGAACACCGTAGAGCATCTGTTCGACCACCGAGAAATCCGGTTGGACCAGAAAAGCTTGAAAAATCATCAGCCATAGCTTGTCTACACGCTATAGAATCAGGTCATAAAATTGATTTTGACAATATTGAAATTGTCATCCAGAAAAATTTCAGAAATCACAAAAATCCTCTAATGGCATCAGATGCACTTCATGTCAAATGGAATCCAAATTTTCTGAATAGGAATGACGGACTTAAGCAGAATTTAACCTGGTGGCTACACCCGCCCCCACCTTCATGAAGTGACGGAATCAACACGAATGTGATAAGCAATTTCATTATGTAAACTCATGCCGTTTTTATAATTTTATTTTTATTTCTTTTTATTCCTTCACGTTCCCAGTGGAACATAGGGCTTCAAGCTAGAAGCTTGAAGTTTCTGTAGCAGTGTTTATTTTTACAGGATGAGGTCGCTAGCTACATGCCCAGCCTTTCCTCTTTACCAGCTTCCATTTCTGGCTTAGCGAGGTAAAGGAGTGCGTCGACCGGGAATCGAACCCCGGACCATGTGCATGGTCTGCAAGCGTCCTAACCGCTATGCCACCGACGCTTATCAAATCCAACAATTTACACATGGTTTTGTTACCTTTACCAGTCGGTCAACTTGAGAGCGTATAGAGAATTACTCCATGCTGATGAACGATGATTAAGCTGTTGTATATAAGCTGAGATTTTGTAAATTCTGGTTTAATAATACTTTGATAAAGCTGTTAGCAGCATTAAATAGAGAAACGTCAGTAGAAACAACAATATCGTTTTGTTTTTCATTCATTGGGAAATACAAAAACCTTTATTATAATGAATATCATATACCCAATGCCCAAACTTTGGGTCAGTGGTACACCGGTTAGGACGCTCGCTGACCATGCACATGGTTAGGGGTTCGATCCCCGGCCGACGCACTCCTTTACCTCGCTAAGCCAGAAATAATGCTGGTGAAGAGGAAAGGTTGGGCATGAGGCTAGCAACCCCATCCCGTAAAATAAACACTGCTACAGAAATTTTAAGCCAATGGCTTGAAGCCCTATGTTCCACTGAGGAACGGAAGAAAAAAAAATGCCCAAACTATTAAGGCTGAACTTGGTTTGGACATATATATAACTTAGTTTAAAGGTTAAACTATCAATGCTCACGGATTGATATCATTTAGAGAACAATTGAAAACCGCTGCAGAGAATACTGGACACTGTTTCGTCCTAGTTCAGCAACCTACGACAGTAATCGTTCACTGGGGTTCAAGCCCAGATCCTTCGAGTTACATGACTAGTTTGTAGACAATTCAGCCACTGGGACCCAACCCAATGGCCCAATAATTGCAACCTCTACCAACTCGTGATTTAAGGTCGACCCACTAGCCAACGTCTTTGGTGACTATTTCTCCATACACCCAACCCAGTGGACCTCACTGATTACGACATTTCACTTTTGACTGGTTTCAGGCCGACGTTGACTGGATTTTTAGTCAGAAGTCATTACCATTGGGGTTTATCAGGTCCAATATGATGACAAATAGTTGTTGATGAGATCGACTGGTGGTCACGACTTCGTAGAATTTGGAATTCATGGACTATTGGATTGGGTCTCAGGGGTTGAATAGTTACCTTGTAACCGGAAGCTCCTGGATCCAGTCCTCAGTGGGTGCATACTGATGATGAATCCCAAACTGGGACGAAAAGGCTGTCCAGTACTCCTTGGTTTTTCAATCATTCTCTAAATGACATCAATCCATGAGTAAACTTGAAAGAAATAGAATCTCTACAAATTAGCTCTTAAAAACGAATAACTAACTTAAAGTCATATCCACCATGGAAGAAGTGTCTCCCATGGATAATGTTTCAGTGCTTCAGGCAATGACCACTGTGTTGTGAAGAATCATTTGGGACACCTTCACTCTCTAAGGAGGAAAGTAATTTCACAGAGACTTTGAGAAGGCCTTCGACAGCGTTGACCACGAAGTAAGTCGGAAACTACTCGAGTACTACGGCGTACCCCAAATATTCATTAACGTCACACGTCAAGTGATCCACAACGGAAAACTCAGCGAAGCGTTTAGAGTAAACACAGGAGTCAGACAAGGGTGCTTATTATCACCAATGATATTCCTAATTGTGGTGGACTGGATTATGCGTCAGACAGTGGGAAATGAGAAGACAGGGATATCCTGGACGGACGTGAAGAACCTAGAAGACCTGGATTTCGCCCATGGATGATTTATGTTTGATGTCACACAAAATCGCAGACTTACAAGCGAAAACCGACAAACTGGTTGGTCAAAGAAGCAGCAAAGACAGGACTGCAGGTGAACATAGACAAGACGGAGGTTATGAAAATAACCAACCAACCAACAACAACAACAGCAGCAATATCCAGCACCGATCACTATCAACGGGAGGGATTTGAAAGAGGTTACTTCATCCACTTATCTAGGGAGCATTGTCTCAACTACAGGAGGAACGGACGAGGATGTCAAATCGAGAATCGGGAAGGCGAGAAACACATTCATCAACCTGAAACCAATCTGGAAATCTTCGTCACTCAGCCTGCATCAACAATAAAATTCGCATTTTCAATACAAATGTCAAGTCAGTTTTGCTATGTGGATCAGAAACTTGGAAGCGGGTCACAAAGAATATTTCCAACACCCTGTTGCAGACCTTTATCAACAACTGCCACCTTCGCTCTATACTCAAGATCAAATGGCCGGAAAGAATCATCAACAAGAAACTATGGGAAGAAACAAAACAAAACAAGAACCAATCACCCAACAAATATGCAGGAGAAAGTGGAGATGGATTGGACACTCGCTGAGGAGGCCGCTAGGTGACATCGCGCGTCAGGCCAACGCTCGAGTGGAACCCGAAAGGGAAGCGGCGAGTGGTTCGTCGGTGCAAGGGTGACATGGAGGAGATCGTGTGAAGAGGAACTGAAACAGTATGGATTAACATGGATGCAGGTGAAAAGTACAGCACAAGACAGAAGCAAGTGGAGGCGTGCAGTTGAAGCCCTATGTTCCACTAGGAACCCAAGGGAACAATAATAATAGTAAAAATAGTCTCAAGTGGGACGAAATGCTCGTCTCGGAATCTGCCGTCAGTTACTATCGAACAAGTAACTTTGGACTCTATGATTCATGAAGAAACATTCCATGAATTTGCGAGTGGTGAATGGATCTTTAAGAAGAACCTTATTCGTGAATTAATACAAATTAGTATTCTCCTTTAAGAGGCATAGTTGTAAAGAAATTCACTATTCACTTACTTCTTCCATAGGCATCTTTGATCTCCCTGATTTGTTCATTTGTTCTAGAGCATAATATTTCAATAAGAACGTCTTCATCTGTACCAAGACCTTTCATTGCTTTATACAACTCAGAAGCATCGAATTCAGCTGGTGATAAACACAAAGCGATCATACAATCTAAAAAGTGTCCACTTAATTCAGACCGAAATTTAGATGTTAAATCTTTTCCAAATAATGCCTTATATTTCCTTGTGATTGCTACACGTTGAGCAGGACTTCTATGTGCCATAACATCAATTAATTCTTTTTCATTTGTTCCTAATCCTGCCATTGCTTTTCTTAAACGTTCACAGTCTGCTTCAGCATCAAAGTTCGGTGCATCTTTGACTGTTGGATTAAACTGCGAAATAAAAAAATAGAATGAAAGTAGGTTATTAATAGTAATACGTTTATTGATTGTATTTATTGATTTTATTCTATGATTCTGGTTGACTGATTTATGTTGATATTAGATGGTTGAAGGCAATCGGCTACAGGAAGCCCCACTGGGATCTAGGTTGCGTGCTAGTTGGCACTCAATAGTCAGTAAGGCGTACCTGCAATCTTGAAGGAACTCATGTCCCTTCTGAACTTCGAACTGGCGTCACCCAGTGAGAGCTGCAGTCAGAGACGTTACCACTGAGCTATTCAGGCTCTTGATTGACCTCCTGTAGGACTGTAGTGTATATTTTGATTGGACACTGGTAACTAGTGTGATCCGTCTAGTCCTATCTTTGGTTAAGACTAAATTCTATCAGTCAGGTTGTAATATGGCCACCATTCTAGGTAACTCGCCATCACGGTGCAGCTTGGTTTGATGATATTAGATGGTTGGAGGCAATCGACAGGAAGCTGAACTGTAATTATGTTACGGCATACCTGCTCCTAATACGGATGCTTCCAGTATATCCGGTTGTAAATGCGATGTTATCTGATTGATAGCAACTTGCAAAATAATCAGAAAGACCTGTTTCTTATTATCTGGGACTTATCAGTTGCAGGTTCCTGCAACCTCTAATGAGCGATGGTGTTCTCGATGAGGGAAGATTTTTTGGTGTTTGAAATTGTAAGTCTTGAGTTCCATTCTCACTGGGAACACTATCAGCCAATGTAGACCACTTGAAATTCAAGGGAAAATAGATAAGAAAGTTGTTGGTACAAACAAATACCAACAGGTTCTATAAAAAATTGACTTGGCCAAGGATTCGATTGTTGGCCAATGGATTCCTTTGCCGGTATTAAACCCGATGAGGAAGGGATGTTACGCGTGAAGTTGTCAACCGCACCTGAAAAAATGCACACTACCATTTGTGAAACCTCATGGCTAAACCTTGAAACCTTAAGTTCTACCCAGAGCGCAAGGAAATGAAATTTTAATCTCAAAGATTTGGAATAGCTAGAGTTATGTACTGTTTTAAAGTTAAAAAGGATTGCCATTCAGCTGTGAAAAACAAACAATGGATAACAGTTTTGTACTTAGCTTATTGGTTAGACTGTACACGGACTGTCGGTACAGTGCAGTTACTTCGACCTGTGCTAACATGTAAAATATCACTGTTGAAATGACATTTCAATCAACGTACTGCGAATTTTAATTCCAGGTCATGATATGTTAGTCCTGTCAGCTCCCAACAATTTCAGTTCGCCTGAAACAACCAGTGCTCTGTGTTCAAAAGAAGCAAGTCTAGCACCTACTACTGCGCTGGCCTTCAGTAGAGACTACAAATTCATGAATTTGTAATATTATCTTTCCCAATTTTTCTGACATTCAGCTTATTTTATGTGGATGCTACTGAGCTGTAATCTATTGATATTACTGATTCGATGTTATTTAAACAACATTAATGTTGTTCATAACACTAATTCAGTCATTCACTATAATGGATGGAAATATAGCTGTAGAGTCTGATGATGAAGTTATAGAAAAGAGTACTCTTTGTTCAGTATCCATTCTTATGAAAATTTTAATGGACATTTTTTAAGAATTAATTAATTACAAATAACTGAAACATTATAAAGTGTCAAGAGGTGGAATTCCTGGATGGTTGGACTCCATCCCGACGCCTCGCCTTGTAATCTAAAAGTCCTAGGGTCAGTCTGTAATGACATTAAGCCAATGTAGAATCAGGACAACAGTTATGTACACCTAAGTTTTCCAAACTATTACATTTAGTTTTACAGTACAGTAATGTTTATATTCACCCCTTCCCCCACCACGCCCACTTACGACCTCTGAACTCTATTGGCTGCTATCTGCTTTGGCTTTTCAAATGAAAGTAATTTAGGCCCATGTATTCGGAAATGCATAGCATTAATGACCATTAAGTTAAAGTCAAACAAATCATATATTGTGATTTGAATATACTATGCCTTTGAAGGAAGTCTCAGTGGAATTTTGTGTTGATTAAATTACTTTACGCAATACAAAATCGAGTTGATCAGTTAGAGAACCATTGAAAACCAGGGAATACTGGACAGCTGCTGTTTCACCCTAGTTTGGGAATCATCGGCAGTACGCACCCACAGAGGATTCGTACCCAGGGCCTTCCGGCTACAAAACACGTGATCTAAAGACCAGCCCAGTAATTCTGACTTCTACCAATTCGTGATTTAGCGCGACCCCAGCCAATGTCGTTGGTGGGACATCCGTCCTTACACGTGACATCTGGGTGAACCTCACTGGTCACGACTTCTCACTAGAACTCCAGGAAACTCCATCCTGTAGCAAGTCACTAGCGAGCATCAGGTTAATTTTCTATAGTTTGGTTTGTAAGGGTTAGTTATGTTTTTACGAGTTGATCACGGTCCAGTACTCCCTGGTTTTCAATGGTTCTCTAATTGATGTCAATCCGTGATCAACTCGTAAAAAACATAACTAACATTTACAAACCAAACTATAGAAAATACAAAATCGGTCAAAAAGATTGGGTGTTAATGAAATTAGCGTAGTAACAAAGGTGATGAGTTGTCACAATCAGTAGTTAAAAACAAGCTATGTAATAGTATGAATAGTTTGATGAGTGAGTTTTACTCGGTCAGGATACACATAGGGACAAAGTAGAGAATACGAAATTATGTAAGAGTCCTGAATGAATACAAGAATTATAAGCAATTAAAGAAACAGGCGAACAAAATTGTTTCCATGAGAGCAGAAGTGGTTGAGTAATTTTCTGTGCACAGCTCCGGTTTTCTATGTGAATGGCTAGAGCTTCAACCTGTTTCTTTAATTGCTTATAATTCTTGTATTCATTTAGAACTCTTACGTAATTTCGTATTCTGCACTTTGTTCCTATGTGTATCCTGACCGAGTAAAACTCACTCATCAAACTACTCATACTATAACATAGCTTCTTTTTAAAAACTTTGTGACAGCTCATCACCTTTGTTGCTACCCTAATTTCTTTGACACCTAAATTACTTTAGAAAACTTTCTGACATTATCTTTCGAATTCGGAAGGCTGAACAACTTAACTATGTGATCTGATCTGGGGATAGGTTCAGCCTTGAATATGAAGAAGTACTTAACTTTATTAACGAATTCTACTACTTGGTGTGATTTATTTTGGCATAATATCATATACTACTGATTGATTATAATGAGTAGCTGAATACTACCCAAATCGGCTATCCCTCTGAGTTAAGTTAAACACAGGAAACATCTTTGATGAGTTCTGCATTTTGAGGGAAAGTGGCAGTCCGATGTTTAGATCGTCTCAATTTGACTAGCAAGCCAGCACTACTGGTTGAAATTGGTAGTATGCAAGGACTTATCTCGGTTAATGAGTAGTATATATTTTTATACACATATTTTTGCTTTTTTGGTTACCATTTATGGTATCAAGTCAATCACACATAACTTGGTTTCCGAAGGAAACTACGTTGAAATTTCACCACTGAGAATGTGTAGATTGGAAATTGACCACCCACTTTGAGGAAAATTTCCCACTGAGGAGTCAGTTGACAAAGAATTGAGAAGTCTCCGAGGGACCTTGGCAGAAAAGGGTTTCCCTTTACCCAGATTCAAAGACAAGAATCTAAAACCAAAGAAAACGCCTGAAAATGTCCAATCGCCCTCTAAAAGATGCTGATACTTAAAAGGGATACCGAAGCAGGATTTCTCCGTAGACGGCTTCCGAAATCTCTCAGTAAAACATACTGCCAGCCTATGAATAACATTTTCCTGCAAGAAACTATTCGACCAGCACGCGAAAGACAAGCTGTCGCATTTGGGCCACCACTTCAACATGCATATACCAGTCCACTTGCTCATAAGGAGCTTGCTACATTTGCCGTACCATGCAACCGCTTGTAAAACACGTTCAGCAACATTAACCAGCATAATCAGCAAAGGGAGAACACAACTGTGTATACAGTTTGATAACACGACATTCAGCGAGTTTAGGACATTCAGCTCCATTTGATAAGCCCTTCAGAGTCATATACAAGATCCGATCATACCTCTCTCTCTCAAAGGGAGTGAAATCAATTCGTCTAGAAATAGCTGAGGGACTGGAGATTCAAAAACTCAGGCTTACGTTGTGTTGAAAAGAAATACGTCCAACCACTGTCCCTACCGTGGCCATTATGAAAAACCAGTCCCACCAATAGTGATTACCCCATTATCTTTCTTATCCAACCTTCCCGTTTATTGCTCTTATTTTTACGTTTTTAATTCCAGTCTGCATTACTAGAACCGACTGATGTTTTTATATGTTAGAACTTCCTACCTATTTTATTATTACCACGTCCTCAATCCATAATTTGTAACAACAGTTAAGTTTTTTAGTAATTATGGTCTTATTATGTCTTTATTATGCGTCGGTGGCATAGCGGTTAGGTCGCTCGCCGACCATGCACGTGGTCCGGGGTTCGATCCCCGGCTGATGCACTCCTGTACCTCACTAAACCAGAAATAATGCTGGTGAAGAGGAAAGGTTGGGCATGTGGCTAGCAACCCCATGCTGTAAAAATAAACACCACTGCTACGGAAACTTCAAGCCTTCAGCTTGGAGCCCTATGTTCCACTGGGCATGTAAAGAGATAGTAGTAAAAAATGACTTTTCGCCGGAAATAATTCTGGAACTTTCTCATACACTTATTATAAATACACGAATGTACAACTGTGTAGTTGATGACCTCGTCGAAAAGAAAAGTTTCTTTTCTGTAACCGTCTTTCTAATAATTTGTGAATTGGTTGGGGGATTTCATCATCATTTCGTCCCACCTAGTTTGGAACTCTTCAGTAGTACTCACCCACCTTCATCGTTCTAACCTAACACCCGGATACAAGGCAAACTGTTAGACCATTAAGCCACAGGGACCCGATCCAATGGCCAGCTAATGAATTCCGACTTCTAGCAG